CACAGCTTTTTTCTCATACATTTTCGTATTGCCACTCGCTTCCTTCACTGTCTTGGTGAATGTGTTTGAGGCTGTGAATAATTTCCCAGTGACTTTAATGGAAGTAGCTCTGCTCAGCATAATTATGCAACATTAATCACAAAACGTGGGTATTTGTTATGACCGATGATTCTGACAGTTGATTGCTTTTTCTGTGAATAAAAATAGCCATAAATTGCCATCTGCACAAAGATGTAAAATAAGACATTAATGTAAAATGTGGCTTGACTTCATATCCTTGCACTGCTTTCTTCCTCTTGCAGAAGTGACCTTGAGCTTATGTATTAGAGTATGAAATCACTTTCTGCCGTCTGGGTGGAAACTCAGACATCATGCTTGATTCTTTATCAGGTTGGAACGGGCTGAAAAATTAATCTTTCTACAAACAGCATTTTACGTTTTCCCCCAGCAATGCAATTAAATGTATTATGTAAATGAATCCACAATGGGCTGAAGAATATGTACACTGCTGTGAAAATATCCATCTCTTAAATAACCTTTCTCAACCATAAACAGTCTTTTGCTCATGATGAATTCAAATAAACTCCTCCACGTCCCAGTTCAAACTAGTGCTGCATTGCTGTATCATAATCCACCTACCAACACAGCCATTTGACCTAGTTGAATATAATCCAAAGAGAATCGCCAACACTAATTCTACGATCACCTCTGTTTTCATCCAGGAGAGAATCAGATTGCATGAAGATTGGCTCCGGACTGTGCTGAAAGTTAAATGAATCAGCTAATTGTAAACAGTTTCTTAGCTCCTTCCTTTGCTGCACTTAAGTACACTATAATGTGCTCCTGCCTCATGTTGTTGCTCATTTATTCTGACAAGACCAAGCGAAGCGTTGTAAAAGAGCGAGGATTTTATCTCTTTGGGTGTGTCAGTCGAAATGCAGGAAGATACCTCACACAAACAGCAAATAGCTCCATGACCCCAGTAAGTAGGCATCCCCCAGATATGTTCAATACATTGTTAAAGTCTAGAGTAAAAAAAAGACAAAGCATCAGGTTTTAATAGTTAATTATTCAATTATTGAAAAAACGACAACAAAGTCTTTATTGACTTGTATGGAAACTTTGTTAGGTAGAGATCGGGAATTAGCCAAATATTATGATGGCTGAATCATCTTCTGATAAGTGGTTTGGCCCATGATGCATCTTGGAGGAGGACCTTTAACCTCCAAATTTCTTCTCAAATTCCAGATAAATCTGATGTTCAAAGTATGGGGTCAGCTGCACACCTGACTGGATTTTTAGGCAACAAGAAATTGCTGATAACCAGTAGATTCTGGAGAATATTTTATATGAATATATATGAATATATATTCATGTATATGAATATATGAAATTACAACAATTAAATTTCAATTTCATTTTATTTATATAGTGCCAAATCACAACAAAAGTTATCTCATAGCACTTTCCAAACAGAGCAGGTCAGACCCAACTCTGAAGTTATTTACAGAAGCCCAACAATTCCCAACAGTTTCTAACCCATTTTTAAAAGCGCAGAAACACTGTAAAGAAAAAGAACGTACGCACAAAGCGCCTGCATTTTTGTAGCCATAAAACAAGCAAGAGAAATGACTCCAGACTCCATAAAACACTTCTGCTCTGATTCAGGACACTTGTGGTGTCAAAGTCAAAATTAAACCCCTTGAAAATGGAATTTGTTCCATCTCCATTAAGTTAGATGCAAGCAGAAGACTGGAGTCGATGTGTTTCTTTTATGGGACATCTGAGTAGGTAACAGAATATAAAGTCAGCTGTTGTGTGGAAAAAATAGGATGGGGTGAAAAAATAAAAGTAAAACCCTGTTACAGCAACTGTTTCTTCCGTGCAAAACAGAAATACAGCACTTACTGTACATTGAGAGAACTATTACAGTGTGGAAATCTCCAATGAAAACTCCAAAATGACTGCTGGAAGCTTTGCTAAATGAATAGTGGAACCATAAGGTCGATAGACGGGATGATTCTGCATGGAGGCGACATCAAAAAGAAGAAAGGAAAGCTTACAAATGAAAACAGCCTTGGTCATTAAAGCCATTCCTTAGTCTGTACAGCCACGTCTGAATCACAGTCAAGGTGAAGGCAACAAATACCAGAAGTGTGTTGTCAGGGAGAAAAACAGTGGCATCATTAGCATCAACAAAAGATCACCTTGTCATTTGTGACGCTCTGGAGTGTCAACGTTCAGCTTTGAAGTTGCGCGACAGCTGGAGAGAGAAGAAGCAATTGACACGTAGGAAGAATAATGACTTCCACAAAAAGTCAGCATATTTTGGATGCAAATATGATGCAGTCAGTCAGGAGGCTGAAACTGTAGCTGGTTTTCAAAGCAGCACTCTGATCTATGTTGGTGTGATTTTGCTGTATGTGTTTTGCCTTTGTGTCAATTATCAATGAATAACCACATAAATACTTTGTCATTTTTGTTTTCACTTCATAACCATGTAGCACACATAGAATATTTACAGCATAGGCAGAGATGAGATCAACAGACGGGTTAAGCAGGGATCAGGGAGTTTATTAATCCACTTGTAAGTTGCTTTGAATTGAAAGAAAAGATATGAGGTAAACCACAAAAATTAACAATAGATGCAAATACCTTCATCAGCTGGATGGCCATGAACGTCTGTTAATTATGTAAAAAAAGAAATATTACAATCTGTTTCAATGAGTTTTCCCTGAAGGTTAGCTTTGCTTTAGTAAATGTGGAGAAGCTCAGCTCTACGCTGAGATAAAGATGTCACCTGGGCATTTCCTTTGGAGTTTTACAGGAGGCTTCCAGATCATATGATATATCCCCAAGCTGACTTGGAGGCAGGTGGGGGTATTCCAGAAGGAGCTGGAGGATGTCTTTGGCAGCTGGGAAGCCTGATCTTCTCTTCTCCAACTGTTGTTTTGGAAATCCTGAAACAGAAACAAAGTTTGGATGAGGATGAATGAATGGATGTACAGAGGGATCAACACATACTGAAATATTGACAAAAAGTATTCCAATCTAATTAACACTGGATGTTTATTAGATGAGATGATAAATCAATATGTAAATTTTCTTTTTAAGTGAGCATATACTTTATGCTAATTAATCTATTTTGTGATGTGAAAAGGGACACATTAGAATGTATTATTACAGTTACTACCTCAAGGTAGAAAAACTGAAATTAAATATCCATCCACCTCTGTTGCTTGCAGAAGCCTCCGATGTTTGAATGTGTCTCAGCAGGCTCTGTGAAAAGTGTCCTAATAACACTTTTTGTTGTTAGCACTATAGTATGAGATTTTTATTCCAGTTAAGTGTTCCTACCGCAGATAGATTACTGTGTGAGCGGAGCAGTGAGGAGTTGGATGTAAAATTCAAAGTGTTCTTTCTCGGATGCTGAGTGAAAGAACGGTTGTGCTCTGTGTCGCTCAGAAACCCTCCGCTCTGTGCAGAAGCACAGGAGCAAATAATCACACTGCAGATATCGAATCTAATAAAGTGCACAAGGGATTCAACAGAACATCTTAAAAGAACAAACAGGCATGCACACATACTTGATGGAAACTAAATCAGATCCTTGGAGAAAATCTACAGATTTGTTTCCTAGATTACTGCCAGAATGTTGTTTGCAAAGCCAATTCCTGCTGCCATATTTCAAAGGAGGGTTGACAGAAATGTGTGCCAACACTTTACTGAGTCAACAGCACAGGGTGATCCTTCGGTCTTGCAATATTTTCAACACGGTGAAGTGGCTGATACCGTTTTGGAGACTCTGTCAGAGAACTAAAGGCTCTGTGTAGGAATGTTAAGGCAGAGTGTGGAGTCACTGTGTTGTGTTCAATCTGAGCGCTTTTGTTTTCTTGAGAAACGTAGAAGACAAAAAAAAAGATCAGAGCGGTAAGTGGATCTTAAATGAAAACCATGTGCATTAATACACTGCTTTTATCTCTCTCTGCCCTTCTGGGGAGGCTTTTCACAAGACTGTGGATTGAGAGAGGGATTTGCTTCCTTCCAGCCACACAATTATCAATGAAGTCAGACACTGATGTTGAGCGATAAGGTCTGTTTCACAGCCGACACTCGATTTTCCCCCAAAAGCCAGTGGAAGAGGTAGTGATTGGGGCTTTTTTTAGTTCAAGTCCATCCATGTCATATATGGAAAAATCCTTCTTAATAGATTCTGATTTGTCATGCAGAACATAAAAAGAATCCTCCCCAAATGGTCAGAACTGAGTTCATATTATCTAAATGATCATCTAGATTAACCAGACACAGATCTGAACAAAGAAAACCTAAGGTGAGGATCTCCTAATGTTCAAAAAGAGAACTTTTTAATCAATCCGCAAATCTAGTTGGAGCACGTTGAATTTGGTGATGGCCACTCATTTGCTTTCACAGTGCAAAAATGTAAAATAATTCAGCAAAAAGCTCAATAATGAATCCCCACTACTCTCTGATACTTGTAGAAATATTCTCACGCAGATTTAAAAAAAAAAAAAAAAAATGTTATTCTCAAGTTAGCAGCCCCACCAGAGAACCTTGTTCAGCGCAATAAGAACAACTGAGTTGGTCTCGGGAGTGCTCGCATACACGCACGCGCACTCGTGTATAAGCACATTTAAACGTGCACGTCGAAATCTCAAAGACAATGATCCCAACATCAAAAGGAAAATGAATAAGCTTTTGGTCAATAAAGCCATCATTCTGTAATGGCTGCAATAAGATGATAAACAGCGCAGCATCAATCTGCCCTTATTTTGTTTTCCAACTTCGCTCTGCTTGGTTTGCTTTTTTCCCCCTCTAAAATCTAGAAAGTGCTTCTTTATTTCTTTCTTTCTTTCTTTCTTTCTTTCTTTCTTTCTTTCTTTCTTTCTTTCTTTCTTTCTTTCTTTCTTTCTTTTCGCACAAGGATGTATTTTTAATTCTAAAGCGAGGGATTGGTCACACTCCGTCTCATTAGCATGAGGAGCCCTATAAACCCCGCCACTGCAGGATTTGGAGCTGGCGAGGCAACAAGCGCGTCTGACTGGCTGCGCATGAGGAGTAACTTTCACTTTCAGCGCTGTTCAGTTCATAAAAGCGGGAGCTGTATGGAGAGCCCATTCCAGATGTGAATTGCTCTCTCCAGCGCTCGGAACACAATGAGGCTGCTCACCGAGGGAAAGAGCACTGCGAAGATGCCAAGGGGCACGTTTCTAACTTATTGGCGTCGGTGGATTTTTATTTTCTCACTCCATCAATTTTTATTCGCCTCATGGGTCCAGTCCGATGGAAATACTGTGAGATACCAGACCAAAGAGGAGGACGCACCAGGTACGGTGATCGGAAACCTTGCCAAGGACATGTCCTTGACTTTGTCTCATTCCTCAAAAAGCAATTTCAGGATGATGAAACAATTCAACGATTCATTCATTAGGGTGAGGGAAAGCGACGGGCAACTCACTGTCGGAGAACGAATTGACAGGGAGAGAATCTGTAGGCACACCTCACAGTGCCTGATTACTTTTGACGTGGTTAATTTCTCCAAAGATCGCTACAAATTGATTCACGTTGAGGTGGAAATAAAGGACATCAATGACAACTCTCCAGAGTTCCCCAGCAAGGAATCTATAGTGGAAATATCCGAGAATGCAGCTGTTGGGTCCCGCATCCCCCTAGATCCCGCTGTGGATGCCGATGTCGGGTCAAACTACATACAAAGCTATCAAATATCTGTAAACAGTCATTTCACCATTGATGTGCTCCTGCGAGCGGATGGGGTTAAATATGCGGAATTGGTCCTAATGAAAGAGCTAGACAGGGAGACTCAGTCCTCATACAACGTGGAGCTGGTGGCCACAGACGGAGGGAACCCACACAGATCAGGGTCAACCAAGATAACGGTCAGAGTGACTGACTTTAATGACAACAGTCCAGTTTTTGACCAGAACAGTTTCTCCGTCAGTCTCCCCGAGGACGCGCCGGCGGGCACTGTGATCCTGGACCTGAACGCGGTTGATGCTGATGAGGGCTTGAACGGAGAGGTCGTCTACGGGTTCGGGAAACAGGTCTCGCACGAGTTCCGCGAAGTTTTCCAAGTGGATAACAAATCGGGTCGTCTGACACTGAGGAGCCCCGTGGATTTTGAGCAAAAAAGCACCTACGAGCTGGACGTGCAGGCGACCGACCTGGGAGCCAACCCGACCCCGTCCGTCTGCAAAATAATCATTCACGTCACAGACGTCAATGACAATGTCCCAGAAATCAGCATCACCCCGATGACCTCCATCTCGACAGGTGTTGCGCACATCAGCGAGGCGGCGGACAGGGACAGTCTGGTGGCGCTGGTCAGCACCATGGACAGAGACTCCGGCATCAACAGCCAGGTCCACTGCACGCTGTACGGCCACGACCACTTCAGACTCCGCCAGGCTCACGAGGACAGCTACATGATAGTTACGGCCGCAGTTCTCGACAGGGAGAGGATAAGCGAGTATAACCTGACGGTCATGGCTGAAGATTTCGGGTCACCTCCGCTGAGAAAAATCACACAGTACACCGTCAGGCTCAGCGACGAGAACGACAACGCCCCCCTGTTCGGGAAAGCTGTCTATGAAGTTTCGGTGGTGGAAAATAACGCCCCGGGGGCTTACATCACCACCGTCGAAGCCAGCGACGCGGATCTGGGCAACAATGGGAAAATTACTTACAGGCTGGCGGACGGCGTTATCATGGGATCCCCCGTTAACACATTTGTCTCTCTCAATTCTGTGTCTGGCTCCATATATGCACTAAGAAGTTTTAATTATGAAGTCATGAAACAGCTAGACATACACATTCAAGCGAGCGACGGGGGGTCACCACAGCTGCAGAGCACGGCTATCATCAGAATAAAAATAGTTGATCAGAATGACAACCAGCCTTCTATCATAGAGCCACCCCTTTATAAGGGTTCTGCTGAGGTTTTCCTGCCCAAAGATGCACCTGCGGGTTATGTGGTGACCCAGATAAAGGCCACGGATGGGGATGAAGGCATAAATGCACAGCTGTCCTATGAAATCACCGAGGGGGGTCACCTGGGTTTCTCCATAAACAAAGACACGGGGAAAGTGCACGTCAGCCGACAGCTGACATACGATCTCAACGACAATGTCAAAGTCATAGTGTCTGTAAGTGATAAAGGATCCCCCTCACTAACCTCCACAGCCGTGATACTGTTCAGTTTCATAGAAGGAACTGTGCCTAGTCTGCCTTCTTTAGCTCAAAATGGCAGCGAGGAGCTATTTGAATGGGACATGTCTATAGCTATAATCATCGTCCTGGCAGGGAGCTGCTCTCTCCTCCTGCTGGCTATCATTCTCATCACTACCATTTGCAGCCGCCGGAAAAAAGAGACAAGGGAGGGGGCGTTTGATGAAAAAGAAGACATACCAGATGTGGAGAAAGTGGAAAGTGGTCATATTGATTCATTGATTGCCAACCACAAAGGCAAAGCATTTGATGCTCATTCATATCCGGAGGACCCTCCTTTGGCTAACAGCAACACAACAGAGGCAGGCTGTGATGAGGCCAGACAGGCAGCGGGCATGTTTGAGCCGAACAACAGGACAATGGAGGGGAAGTTAAAGGTATGGAGATTTTTCTGACACATTTACAGTTCGTTGCATACTCACTTTGTTGCTTTTTCAGTACTGATTCCAAATTTACATGGATATTGTTTTTATCTTTCCAGGGTTATTCAACACTGCCAGGGTACGGGAAAGAGACACTGAGACCAATAACAATATGGAAAGGGAATTCATTCACAACAATCTCAGCAAGAGACCCCCACATTAGCGGCAAGGACAGTGGAAAGGGAGACAGTGACTTCAATGACAGTGATTCTGACATCAGTGGAGATGTTCACAAGAAAGAGTCGCCACCAATGAACAGTAAGTGTTGTCAAACTTAAAATAAAGTAAATGATATAATTTCAAGGACATTGGCACGTGGTGAAATGTATCTTTAAACTGCTTACAGAATGTATTGCATTTATTTGCACGTGTACTTTTAAGCACTGGGTATTTATTGAGATGGATTCACCTGCACACTAGAAGCATTCTGATTGATTTCACTTGAGCTCACTGGGGTCTTTTATCATCAAACATCCAGGCGAGCCAACAACTATTCACATTACATCCTGACAGCACTGCGATTTTTCACAGGTCTGTGGGCATGTACAAGCGAGTGCAAAGTGTTGGGACACTCAGACCGATGCTGGAGCCCGTCAGCTACAAGGCCCAACACGAGCATGGCCTGTGGACCGCATCTGTCAACGTTCTCTAAGACAGCAACGCTTCCCCGGGACGCCAGAAGAGAAAACTATTACCCAGCTCACTTACCCAAAACCAGCGGTCTGCAAAGTGTGTATGAAAAAGTTCAACACCAGGAATTCGATTATATTCTTGTTGGCCCACCAACACCAGCAAGGATACAAGAGACTGATGAAATATCCATCCCAGAGTATACAAACTCTTAAAAGCACTGTAAATAAAGGACATTTTGTCTTTGTACTGTACAGTACTTTCACCCTAATTGACTATTTGTTTGGTTATTAATGTGTTTTGTAGTGTGTTGTGTCTTTTGGCTCATATAAGACTGTTCATTGTATCATGTGTAATATGCAAGATTTTGTACATTAATGATATATTTTTCATATTGATTCAATGTAAAGAAAAATTTTATTATGAATTTTTAAGAGCATGTGTTACTGTTTAAGGGCATGACTTAAAACATTTAGGTTAAAAAGGGGCCTCTGCTGTGGAAAACAATCAACATGAAATATTACCATGTCTGTGGTAGGTTTTATCACATCGATGCACAAATAAACAGTAAAAAGAAATGCTGTTTTTCTGTCAGTGGGAGAAAAAAATGTAGCAATCAAGACTCACTTGTTATCTTATTTTCAGAGTTCAACCTTTTGCCCTCAAGAATTACTCATGAAGCATACACAATAACCCCAATTAGCCAACTGAATATATTCCATTTGCCTCTAAGGCTTGTAAGCTGTGGTAAGTAAAATGCGCTTTGCCAGCCATCACAGCTTAACTGATAGCAAGCACAAGCCATTCTCATTGTCTTTTCATTGTACACAATGTGGTTACTGTGCCACTTCAATTTGCATGCAAATATTGCGCTGCTGATCAAATTCTCACACAATTACATATTTTCAAAGGTCAAAGAATCTCTTCACCTTCTGTGATTGCCTTGCAGCTTACCAATTATACAAGAAACTGTGATTTAATCTGTTTCCAAGCAACAGCGGCACTGCACATTTGAATCCCTTTTCTTGCTATTTTTCTTCTATTTAAGTTATGACAAAGACTAAGAAACCTTGACCACAAAACTACCTTTATCCCACTGCCATGGTAAAAAAAGAAAAAACTGAATTAAGCAGTGGTTGTGTCTGAGTGTGTAGAGTAGTCTAAGTCTGTGCTGCCTCCTCGTATACGGCATGAATATAACGAGCAAAGAGGTGGAATACTTGCGAGTTTGACTACAGGTGAGTGCAATCTTCCATTCCTGCTGACACGTAGGCAAGAAGCTTAAGCAAATCTGCTGCAGCCACAAAAAAATGTATGTTACCATGATGTCTGACAGTTTGTGAAGCTTTCAGAATTTTTTATGCTTCTGCATAAATTTGACCTAAAACCAGCTGTCATACAAATCTCAAAGAAGATACACCTAGTCAAACTAAACAAAATGGGGGAAATTATGTGACCTGGGCATACATTTATTGATCCCTGTATCCTAATATTTAACTGAGAAGTGGCATTTCTTTTCCCAGCCAGTTTGGGCAATAAGTGTCAGGTTGATTATTTCAAATATCACTGCCACCGACATGTATCAAAGTAATGGTAACAATGAGCTCACCTTTTGCATTATCGAGGTAAGCGAGAGATGCCTTACTTAGATTTACTTCTACAGATCTTAAAAAGACAAAAAGATGAAAATGTGCTCTAACAAACGATTGAGCACGTCATTACAAATATTACTATGCAGACACATAGAAAAATCTACCCATATGCCATATTCAAAGCAAAATATGAGATATAAGATATTCTGGGAAAGCATAACTGGCACTTAAAGTTATATAGCTTCCACAAAAAAGCACTGACAAAATGGTCAGACAGGATATTCTTTACTAACCACCACATCAGTTTCTACAAAGCATGAAATAAGTCTCTCATGAGCTCGAAGCTGCTTCAAACGTCTCGGAGTTACAGGTAACATTCAGATGAAGAATTTTGCAATTTTATATCAACTTTACGTCATTCACATTGACCCGTTGAAATAGTCTTCTGCCGGATAAAAGAGAAACAAGCAGAAAAGGAATTACAGACATCAAGAGAGAGGTTATGGAGGAAGTGCACGGTACAACTCGGGGATCTTGCTGTTTTGCACCAAGCAGGCCTGCGGTAAGGCGGCGTGCGTTTTGATCAGAATTATCACTGACATCTGTGACATATTGATAAAACGGTGGACTTTGTAAAATACTAAGCGATGTTACTGTTCTTTTTTTTTTGTTTACCTTGAACTTTAAGGAACAAAGCACATCCAGCACACCAGCCTCCGCCGCAATCAGTCATGTGCTGAGGTTTGGGGCTGCCGCTCTCCTCCTGGGTGCAGTTTTCGTGTTGTGTGCATCTGTGGCTGCTCTCTACCTGTGGAAAGGCAGTGATAGAAATGTAAGTGCTGTCAAAAGACTGTGGAATTTGTTACACTGCGCATCCTCAAATAGCAAATATCAGGCATTTAATCCAGAACTAAATCCGAGAGCGCTAAACAGGTGATTGTTTACAATTTCTCGGCACATACATTTGTGACTTGGATGCCTCATCACAGGCATCACCTGAAAGTCAGATTTTTAGATTGGGTTTCCCTTCTCTCCATGGTACACAGAAACTGCACAGACTCATCTCTGAGTTTTTCTTCATCTCATGAAAAGCAATCCAATGTTTATTTGTGTCAAATGTGGGGCAGAGCGCCTCATCAAGATCTGCAACAGCATTTCCTGTGGTGATTACCTCAAATTCTCAGTGTGTTAAAACTACAAAGGATTTCCTTCAACAAAAATGTCAGTGCGAGGGAATAATATGAGCGACGTGAAGCTTGTTTTTCCATCTATGCCATCGGGTTTGCAACTGCTTGATTTACATAACTCGACTAATCAGTTGTTTTAACGTCTTGCTTTGAATGCTGCCAGGTTTATAATGTTCGTTACAGCTTGAACATCAATGGGGAGGTGAAGGAGGGCTCCATGGAAATTGATTCTGACAACAATCTGGAGAGATTTAAAACTGGGATAGGAGCTGCGGAGGCAGTGGAGGTTCATGACTTTCAAATCGTAAGTGAATTTGGCCCTTTTTTCTTTCTCTCTCTTGCTCAGCTGAGACCTTCTGTGTGCTTTGCAAAGGAGCAACACTGAGTGTAAACACGGCATCTTTCTGATTTGGTGCAGGGAATAACGGGAATACGCTTCTTTGGAGGTGACAAGTGCTACATAAAATCCCAAATTAAGGCAAACCTTCAACTCCTGGGAGCTCACAAAAAGGAGGCTCTGATGTTTGACCTGGTATTTGCTTTGGTTTTTACACATAATGTTAAAATCTGAAGTGAGAAAAACATGTTGGAGTGGTAATAGGAACATTGAAAAAAAACAATGTTTTAATTTTCTCACCAGAGAGATGAAAAGATGCCTGTGAAGTATGACGAGGGCTTTCTCGTATGGGTTGCTGCAGAACGGCCACTGGTGGAAACAACATTTTTAAGCCAAACAATTCTGGATCTTTGTGGAGAGCTTCCCATTTTCTGGCTCCAACCAATGTATCCTAAAGGTTCCTCTCTTCCACTAAGCTATTTCTTACGTTCCACTTCCAACAAGCCAAGGAAAAAAAAAACATTCTAAAAGTCAGCATGATCTATTCTGAGTGAACCATTGTACGTTTTTCATAGCTTATTAAAATCTTAGCTGTGATTGCTCTTCTTATCTGCTGACACACTTGTAAAATTTACAGACTTGGCTGAGAAGTTACTGAACATCTTGAACATATACTAAATTTAGAATTGAGCAGCAGGAAAAAAGACCAACAAAGTCTTGTATTAAAAAAGAATGAACTTGAAATATGCAAGGCTTGATATCACTGCTGCTAATTGAATTATTCAGGCCGTCTGAGACATCTCCAGCTATGTAGGATTGAGCTCTGAGGACATGTATGGCATCTTGTGGATGTTGACCCAATACTCTTGCCTCCTGTGGATATCGTAACAGATGGGGAGAGGAGAAAGAGAGACATTCAACGAGCCAAGCGGCAGTTAAACATGGAGCAGGAAGTGGCAGAAGAGAGGGAGTCGGTGAATCACACGGACCACGGCACCTCCAGAGCGGAGGACGAAGAGGAGTCAGCTGCAGGGTCAGCATACAACCCCGAAAACCCTTATCATGTGAGTAACGGCTTAATTAGCAACCTTGTTTATGGCTAAGAAGACTGATTAAATTTTCATTAACTATCAAGAGGCAGCGCGTGAGCCCTCAAGCATTCCTTAAAGTAATATTTGGAATTTGAGTGTTACGGTTTTATCCACATTTTTACGGACGATTTCATCGCAGCAGCAACCTTAGGATGCAAGTTTTGTGAGAAATATATTTTCGCTCAAATAGAAGCCTACAAAGAGGAAACACGTTAACCCATATTTAGTTTTGCTGTCAGCTGTGGGTGGTGTGTGCTGCTGCTGCTGTAAAGGTGTCATACTGGCAGCTTTAATTACAGGTCACTGGGGTAAAGCTGCCATTCCAACTTGAACTCGTGAACTGAAGTGAAAACTCCCACTGGTTATAAAAATTCATGTTGCCTCAGAGATATTGAGGGACTTTTCTTGGGTGGAAGAGGTTTTAAAAAAATAATTTGACTTGCAGATAAGTATAGATTTGAAAGATAATTTCCCGAATATTTTCTTGCTCTGGAAAACTGATCTTGCTTTTATGTAACAGCAGCGCAGCGGAGAGACCAGAGAGGAGAGTGCCATGACCTTTGACACCATGTTGGATCACCAGGGAATCTGCTGCTCGGAATGCCAACGCAGCTACACTCACTGTCAAAGAGTGTGTGAGCCTCTGCGTGGCTACTGGCCTTGGCCCTACAACTACAGAGGGTGCCAGGTAGCTTGTCGAGTCATTATGCCGTGTCGCTGGTGGGTGGCACGTATTTTGGGTCTTGTGTAGCACAACAAATTCAACATTTGAAAGGGGGACATGTCATGTTTTTTTTTTATATCACCCTGCACAGGTCTCTTATCTTTTAGTTAAATTCTGATGTGCATGCAGATGTGAATTTTTGGAGTTTCACGGTGAATACTGCCAAAGAGCTAGGCTTAATATTGTGATATGCAGATTGTTAAGTGCGATAATAAGTGTTATGATGATGATACACTCTGATATTCATGAGCATAATTTACTTCTCCGCTTTCTGGTACTGGACCAGAGCGTAAAAGAGATTTTTGTTACAATGATAGTTAGGCTTAATACACTGCACTGCGTTCAGTGAGGGGCGTGGGACTGAATCCAAAGTCTAAGCCGATCATGTACCTTCTATGACCTCGTAGGCTTCAATAAATTCTAATTACAGTATGTCAGCTTTGATGTTGATGTTTTTTTACATGTCGCATGTTGTTGCCGTGTTTCCACTTGGTGTTCTTTTCTTTGATGAAGCTGAAGTGACAGCAACAGTTGCTGTTAACTTCCATTCACAGCTCAGAATCAGATTGAGGGCAACCCAACTTGTGCATTCTGACATCTGCATTGATGTGAACTAATGTGAGATGAGTGTCAAGGCAATAATGGAAAATCTCTTTAAAAGGTGCTGTTTTTGTTAAAAGATGTAAAAGTGTATTTTTTTAAAGAAAAAGCAGAGAGGAAAGAGCTCAGCTACAAAACATGAGATAGGCTTTATTTGTCAAACGGCTGCTCGTGGTGTCAGCTAGTCTGAATACCTCAAAATCAAAAGAAATCAGATTACTATCTCTAAAGCCATATGCCAACTTTCAAAATAATTGAAAGGAGTCATGTTGTGATCAAGACGATTTCACAGAGGGTGATCCAGGCACATCAAATTACAACAGATGTGAAATTACACCGTGTCTGCCTCTAAAGCTGCATTGAAACAGTGAAGCAGTTCAAGGAAGCAACACAAAGAGATGCTTGTCTTTTTTTGCTTGGAGATTTTTCCTGGTTTTCACGGGGGTAGAGGTGCTTATCACATCTGCAGTGCCGATAAGACGGCCTCCGTGCTTCCGTAGGCTATATAATATTAATCCCTCTCCCACGTCTGCAGATACACTTAAAGGAAGGTGACAAGCATGACATATCCAGGACCTCCTGATGGCTCGTGCTCTGGAGTGCAGCCACTAAAAGAGCCCCAAGTACCCTCAAGTGATGTAAATTTGCAGGGGAGTCCAATTTCCATCACAGTGCTGTCACTGCCATGGTCATTAAACTAAATCATCCTGCTGTGTGTCACACAGCTCCCATTTTAAAGTCCCCTCAATAATGGAGTTATACTTGGAGTGCAGATTGCAGCACAACAGTGAATGTCTGACCTGACAGCATGTGCAGAAGTAACCCGGACATTATTTCATCCTTAGAAATCACAGCAGGACACAATGTACAAATGTAAGGGAAACTAGAATGAGAACTCTTTTTGTGGTGCATGTTCACCATAGCACCCGCTGCAGGTAAACAGAAATATATTATGATATCTTAACTGCTATAAAGTAACTGTGACTAAAATGCAAAACTAGTTCGTTCTCTGCAAGAGCTTTTTTTCCTCTTAAGCCTCACTCAAAATGTATTGATTTAGCCGCACAAGACGAAGAGCTCGGAGTTTAAACTGGAGTCGAAATGCACAAAAGGAAAACAAAATGAAAGGCCCACATCACCACAAGCCGTAACTCAAAATGGCATTTCAACTGAGAGAGAGAAAAAAAAACAGTTCAGAACAACAGCAGTTTTGTTATCCTGAGGCCTTGTTTAGAAAAACCCATCTCCTTTTTGCCATTCGTCTATCTCTTCAGAATAGAAATGTACCCCCGTTGAGAAGTTAAGACGAATGTGTTGGAGATCAGCTTCAGTGTGGGAGACAGTGTAGCCTTTTTGTTTGTCTTCCCTCTGGAGCCAAGCTTACCCTGGGAGCCCTGCAGGCCAGGGAACAAACAGAGCTTTGTGAGCTCTGACCCACTGTGCCCAGCAGCCAGACTGCAATCCTCCACTCCTGTGCTAATAAGAAGCCACAGATGAGGAATCCGTGCAGCTGAAAAGGGAGGGGTGCTTTCTCACACCCACCTGTGCTTTCTTCATCGCTCACCAAAAACAAGCACAGGCAGGCGGGCTGCAGTGCACGATGATCGCTTCTTCACCAACCAGCCTTTTGGCACTAAAACTGAGCACGATACCTTTGGGAAACCTTACTTGGTGATTTATTTTGTTGCGTGCTTTTGTACTAATCAGACCTATGCACTCACTAGAGCTCTCGGTAAATATGTCAATACACTGTCATAAATTTGCTTGTTGCTGCCCAAGAGGCATTAAAAGTGTGAACAGGAGTGCAAAGTGAACCACTCTAGTCAACGTGTCCTACATTTGATTGCATGTTTTCCATTACATCTAGACACGGATGCAATAAACAGTAGTGACAGTCCATTTTGCACCTTAACTGTGAACACAGAAACCCTTTTAGGCTAGCTCATTATCTTTGTCTGCAAGAAAGCACTGCAATACATTTATAGATGCTGGCACTGGAGGACCTGTTACCCATAGTTTTGCGGCAGCAGTAACATCTAAAGCTCCTGACATTTGTCTTTGATTTTCCTCTGAATGGTCAGAAATATGTGGCTGGATGAAGGGTCGTTCTGGAACAAAGCTTAAATGCTTTTTAATCCCATGGTTCAGTGACCACTTGCCGTTCTGCCCAGTACACTGCCTGCCATTTTCAGGTGCCTCTGAAGTTTCCGTGCCATAAACTGCAGTGTCTGTCTGACACATCTCTCCCTCTCTCTCAATACTCTCTCTTGTTTTGTATGCAAGTCCTAATAGTAATGACTAAAGAAATTTCAGTTTTGCATATAGAAGTGTGACTTGTTTAGTTTGCTGAGTTAAAACATAAAATACTGGCTGCAGAAGTATCTTAATCCAGTGAATTATTTCATGTGATATAAAACATTACAGCAATTACTCTACACACCCTGTGTATTGCACTTGGTTGCATGGTTTGCTTGTTACACTCAAATAGAAAACCTGTAGTGTGGTGTGGGTGTAAATTGGACACAGCGTTGGAATTTGAACAACTGCTTTCCTAGGGACATGCTGTATGTGTGGCAGTTAGTGCAGTCGAGACACCCAATCTGCCTAGAAGCTGGATGTCAGGATACTGCCCACAAACGAGGGGCAGTATCTTTAAACCATAACATGTGCTTTGTATGGATGCTTCATAATCTATGGATAAAACTGCTTTGCTGTTGTATTTCAAAGTAAAAATATATATCAAGTCATCGATATAAATGAAATTGTCATACTTACCAGTTTAATAACCTGGCCTTTGAAAAAAAAGAACAAAATTGTCATCATAAATATAGTATTTCAAATGGTGGATTTTATGTGGTTACAATCAGATATTTATGCAATACATTATGTATTTTTTTAAAATAATAAAATAGCTCAATGAAGATTCTCACAGAGTTATGTTTCCACTTTGTATGAAAGGGATGCATAATAAACAACATTTACAGCACTTTCTCACACTTTTTAGTAATAATTCTCTGTGCCAAATGGGTCAATATAAATAAAAGAATGTCGCCTGAAATTTGTATGGGAAGTTCCCAAGAAGTTACACATGATCTGGTGTCTTGCTTGAAAACAGCTATAGATAGCTCAAAGCAGAATCAAATAAAGACTTCACATCTCCAAACCTTAAAAAAATAACAACTCCCACACAAAGCAATGTCAAGAGGCTTGCCACATGAAAGGAGAAGTTGTCTTAAGAGTTGCAGGAAGTACTGACAAAGTTTATGAAGAAAAAAAAGTGAATGTGTTTTTAATCCTCAGCTGCACGGGCAACAATGAGGGAGCCTGCACACTTAGATATGTCACCCCGGGGGCAGGCTCTGTACTTAAGGCTTACAACAGGCTCATTATCTCCCTCAACTCACATCAGATCCTAGCAGCAGTTTGTCACAGGCAGGCTCTTCTCTGCCACGAGGCATCAGACCAATTCTCCTGCAACACTACTGTACATAATTGCCATATGGACAGCATTTTGAGCCAGACTGAAGACTAAAAAGCCCTCCAGGCAGATTCCCCAGATAACTAAATGAATATTTTATCTCATTTCCATCTAATTTGCACCACATTATTATACAGAACTGAAAATTTTAATTAATTGATAGAACGGATCAAACACAGGTTTACACTTTGATTTTCAGGAGCTCTTGTTTTGATAATTTGCATGACTTTTTTTTTCCCCACTTGCCAAGCTTTTTAATCTCACTGAATTTCAGTATCTCCTTAAAGAAACACTATAATAAAACATACAGCAAATTAATAACTGTCAGTGCACATAAAATGCCTGTCTCAGTTGTGTGAGCAGCTCTGGTGAGAAGTCCCATTACCTGCCACCCCGCTGATTAATTAATTTCACACTGTTTAATTAAATCCACAGTCTGGGGAGCCCGAGCAGCACCATGGGGAGCTGAATTTGAGCCTTGTGCGTACAAGGATTACTAAAAAGGGTCTGAGACTCTAGCTCCCTTGTTGATGTTGACACTGACGTCACCCTTCTGCAGACCCAGAGCCTGATTGTATCAATGTCATCTGGCACTTGTGAGCTTCTCCTGCTGGGGACATGATATAATGGCACTGTTTAGTGTCTATCTGTTGGCATTCCCACTAACTACGGACAACTAAACATTTGACAGCAATGTCCTCAAATGAGTATTTGGCAGGAGCAGCCATTGAAATCCAATGGTGCTATATGCAAACTTTAGATTTACATTCAGCTACTTAGCTGCACAAATACAAATGCAAACACTCTAAAAAGTGAAAAAAAACTCAGTATAGAATAGAAAAGTCAGTATAAAAGGATAAAAACTATTTAAAAGAACGGTGAAAAATATTGAATACATAAGATACATGGACTTATTTCTTGATAAAAAAAAAAACCATACAACTTGGCTCCAGCGTAAATGAGAATGTCTAGCTATCTTGTCCAGCATTGTAACATTTAGCGGTATATGAAACCGTGTAAGCACACAGGAAACAACACTGTGTGGGCTTGAAAGCATCCACGTTACTCCTCTTGCAAATTATTTTTGGCACCCCTAATCACATACACATTTTTTGTCAGATGGCCCAAATTTGTCATTACTGTGCAACCTCAAAATAAGACAGCATTAAAAGGTTATCTGACAAAAAGTGTGATATGGAGTGCATGAAAATTCCAGGATTCAACTATTCAGGCTGTAATTATCCCTGCAAGCATTTTCAAAGAGCAAGCCATTAAAACGTCAATGCCTAAAGCTTTTAGTAAAAGTTTCAGTGATTTGAGTTTTTGTTGAGAGAGACAGGTATCTCAGCCTCTTTCACCTTTGACTGAAGTTGGCGCAGTCATTAAGAAGCATCATTACACAAGAAGATCCAAAAATGAAGTGAAAAATTGTTTCACGAAGGGCCAAGACCCACATGATGATCAAATGCCAGAAAAGTAACAAAGAAATGAAAGTTTTGAGGGAAAACTAGAACAGACTTGAGTGAAACAAATGAAGCTGCCAGAAAACAATTATCCTCCAGAACAGTCACGTTTAGGAAGTACAACCTGAAGTTTAAGGAGCTCAGACACATTGGCTTCAATACAACCATTTTGTCAAAATTGGACAAAAATAACAAGTAGCCTTCATTCTTGATGTGATAAATGAATAAGCCAATCCTGAACTACTAACACACAGACTCCCTTTCAGCGAGGCACTATGTGGAGGCGCTTTATTGGGGGAAGTGCTGTTATTAAAGATGAGCTACTTGAACCTTTGTCTAAAAACAGATGAACTCCCAAACCTGAAGAAAAGAGTGAACCTGCTGCCAGTTTTCAGAAGATATTAAATAAATGGTACCGAAATACCATAATCTTCATCATCCCTCATGTGTATTAATATAGTCCACTGCCAATGATGGGGTGACCTTCCTCTTCACCTGACTTAAATCTGAGTGAGAATTCAAGTTAATTCAGTCTCTAACATTTTCAATAAAGTTTTATTATTGGTGTGAGGATTTAAATTCATTGCAAAAATGACAAGAAAACGTTTGCTGCTTAATTGTGCCTGAAAGAAAACATGACGGGAACAACAAATAAATTAAATGAAATAATTAATATCCACTGATAAAGAATTTGGGGGTAAAAAAAAAAAACATGATTCGTTGGACAAGTTTTTAATCCGGCACCTGTGGTATCTTTGTGGAACTCCATAAATTAACAATCAAGAAAAATGAATAGAAAAGGCTTTCTATTATCAGAGGCAGTAAAATCCAATGTTTAATGTGTCAATTTTGAATTTGATCAATACAAAAATGTTTTGTTGGCATTATGAAGACAACATGTCTTTAGCACCCTTTGACTTTTGTACATGGATCACAAACATATCAAGCATTCATCTGCTTTTACTGCATTTTTACAGAAAAAGCTCAGTTTACTCAGACATAGTAATCTTCTGACAGGCATTCCAGCTCACAACACTCAGCCAGTTTTGCAGACTGATGCAGCATTAGCAGGAAAAACGCTGCTCTAATTGTGCTCGCCTTGTCCTGTGACAGGGGGACCTATCAGGTGCTACACCCACCCCCACCCCCAAACTCCCACCATCGCTCTCTCCTCCTGACCTCATTCTGTCATCTTCATTTTCCTTCTTCCCCACTCTCAGGTCTTTTATAAAGTGTCTCCATGCATTACACATTTAACAATGCATTAAAAATAGGCCACCATCAATCAGTTCATTCACAGGCAGACAGGATCTACACGTGGCATCGATTTGATATGATTCTCCAGGTTCAAGGAAGAGAAAAGAGGGGTACTGAGTTTTAAGGTGCTGTGAACGGTGAATGTATGAAATTGAAATAAGAGTCACATCTAAGAGCTAATAATACACCGCTCCTCATAATACCCACAGCAATAATTTTGAGTTAGCATTTGCTTGATCTCCCGCGGCACCCTGTCTTCCCAGAATCCAGAAACAGAAATTTTATAAATATATAGGCACGCCGTAAGCTGTGACAAGATGTCTGTTGATGGGTGCCAGGGTTAACATTGCACCCAAAACAGTGATTTGAGAACTGTGATGCATGATACAGGATAGGTATGAGGTGAAATCTGATGTAATGGTTGGAAGCGAGTCTAGCCTCGGGGGCAAATAATAGTCTGCAGAGTCTGACTCCAGGTTGCACATGCCAAAGCAGATGTTCAACTGACGACAGCATTACAAAAGACAGAGCCCCTGTGTGATTCAGAAGGGTGCGTTTTTTTGTTTTTTTGTTGTTGTTGGAATGGCATGTCAAGGTTGCTGAGCAACAAATAGAGCTGCCTTGGTTTATCATATTGATAAGTTATACATATTTGATGAGGAAAAATTGAAAAATCACAAAGTACTTTGACAGTTCCACCTGAGTTTGGTTAACACAGTAAGGTGTTAACCGGCAGAGGTGTGGAGGTCTCCTTGTGAGCTTTGATGTTGCTGCTCTGCTCTGAGGCTTGATCCTGCATTCTGGACTTCAAAACGGCCTGAGTCTCGTCACGGGTTTCAGGTTGAAGAGGCGGACACCAGCAGCAGAGGCACGCCTGAAGGACCACACACAACACATGACCAGAGCACACGGCGCATTTCTCATCAGTCCAACAGGATACGTGCAATTAAAAAACTGATTTATTAGACAAGCCGTCATTAATCCAGTGAGGGCATACAAGAGGACAACTTGAAGAAAACAAGTTGGCAGTTACCATATTGGAAATTTGGGATTTTCTTTTAAAGTGAAACAGAGCTGGAAAAAAAAGTGCATTTCAAATGGAAACCATTACTGCAGAAGATGAGTGTGCAGTTAACCTGATTTTAGTCAAAATATATCAGATCATATTTCCAATATCATTCCTCGGAGCTCGCAATGTTATGAAGACTTTAATCCTCTTCCCTTAAAAACTGCTTAAAGCTATGTTTTCTTCTTCCACATGACACGTCACACTGATTCAGAGGCTACGTGTGTGCTATACTGCCAAGTGTTTTTTCTCCCCCCCTTTCTCTCCCTTGATGATGTTTTTCAGACCATTTTCCCTTATTACCCCCCCCCCGGGTGCAGCTGTGGCAGTCTGAGCGGCGGTCTTTGCAGACATGACTCGCATACGTCCTTAATCACACACGTGACAGCTCATCCAGCCTGGACCACAGTGTTTTTAACATTCACCAGGTGTGTCTGCAATGGAAAGGTGCGACTGCAAGGGCACTCACCTTGAAACACTTCTTGAATCTTTTGCTGACTATGTACAATGCAATAGGGTTGATGCACGAGTTCAGCGACGCCATGTTGATTCCAAAATAGTCGAGGACAAGAAAGACACTGAAAGATAGACATAGATATCATGCAAATTACACCAAAATTCAGCCACTTATAGGAAAAAAATGAAAAGGTACTCTTGGTGCCTCATGCTCACCTAAGTAGCTGGCATCTGTTGGGGTCTTTCTCATTATACATGGTTAATTTTAAGATTCTGCTGAGGTATAAAGGCAGCCAGCAGACAGCGAACACCATGACCAAGCAGAAGACAGTTTTTGCAACTTCTTTCCTCTTAAATAGAAAAGATGGAATTCACGATCAAATTCTGAAAATATGCCACAGAAATGTTCAAATGTGCTATCAAGTAAAGGCTTATCTTATGACCTGTTTGATGTGATCGCTCAATGTATTCTCAGTATTTTTCAGCATCTTCCTGGTCATCAGCGCGTAGAAAACTGCAGTCCATGCCAGTGGCATGCAGAAGTAGAACCCAAAGAGCCACCAGTCTTTTACAGCTTTATAAAACTGTTGATTAAACATGACAGACGCCAAAGGCTGTGAGTGCTGGAGGTGCCGTGGTGCTGCACGCCTGCTATCAAGCGGTGTCCACACAATAATGTCTGATATATAGTTGTATTGACAGAATTAACAGCAAATATGTACTTAACAACTCATGTGGCAGTGAGAAAAAAAAAGCGTCATCATTATCTATTTAATTCACTTTCAGATGTATCCTTCCAAAAATATTTACTGTGTTCATTTGATCTGATTGCATCAGGTGCACAGCATTACTTTACCTGCATGAACTGCGTGGTTTGCATGGGATGAAGCAGACATATTCTGAGATGCTTTTCTTTATAGTCCATTGTTATCATATCAAAGGCGACCACTTCAGGGACAGCCAGCAGGATAGAAACAACCCATATCAGGGTTATTTCAATTGTTGTCCACACAGAAACCCAAATTCCTTTGATTTGATTCCAGGATACAACAGCACGGTATCTGCAAAATCAGTGAGAGCATGTCATAGCTTGGGGGAAAGTTTTGTGCGCAACAGTGATGTATTTTTTCAATTGAAACACATTTCAAGGATCAATTCTAACAAACCTGCCTGCCAGATGAAATACAGATGGTAACAAGCAATACAATTTTCTTGGAGGGCACGGGACAGTGTAGCTTACCTGTCAACACTAAGAGCACACAAGCTCAACACAGTAATCCCTACAGAAGTTTTCTGGATGAAGGGTACGAGTTTGCATAGTGCTAAACCGAAGGGCCAATCCTCTGCCACAAGCTGTAATAAAGACAAGGACATTTTTTTAGAAAAAGATTCTAAGTCACGTCTGAAGTAAGAGAAATAGTGTGATTACAGAGAGGAGAAATAGGTATGCAACAATGTTTTCTCATTGTAAATGCACATCAGAAGACCAGAAACTCACCCTGTATGAGTTGATTGGAATGTCAATCACAATATGGATCAGATCCCCTAAAGCAAGACTTGCTATAATGAAATTGGGTCCGCTTCTCATATTTTTGTTAACATATATGACTTTAAGTAAGGCTGTATTGCCCACTATTCCGACAACAAACACGAGCACTGATACCATAATATTAACACATTTAAAAGTGTCTCTAATTCTAGCGGACTCTGAGCACATAGGAGGTGGCATTTTAGCTCCCGCTACTTGGGTTGGATGAACTGAGCTGTTCAATTTCTGTCTTTCTTCTATTAAGAGAGCAGGGGAAGCTGTTTCTGAGTGCACAATTTTAGAGAACGGCTCTGAAAGCTGATCATTGGCCTGTAATCCGCAGAGAATATTTCCAAAGAACAGAAGGAGTGTCACGGTCCACATTGTTGAAGATTTCCTCAGAAAAGCCCACAAGGGTTTTTGCTAAATCCGAGCTGAAAATGAAATTGCAATAATTAGCATTTTCTCTTTAGATATACAGTCATATGTCGAGGAAGTGTAAGGTATTTCTAATTAAAAAGACAAGAAAAAATGAGCAAACAAAGTTCACATAGTATAAATAATTCCATCTTACCTTCAGATGAACACACACACCACAAGTCACTGAAAACGAGGGAAAAAACAGGCTCTTTGCTCAATACATAGAATAATTCTTTGTTGTTGAGCAGCTGTAAATGTTTGAACCCAGCTGAGGGAAATCAGACTTTTATAGACAAAGGTATTGTCAGCATTAGTCATCGATCTGTCAGTACTGACTGTAATTACTTCCCTTGATGCATCACCCTGAAAGAAAGGATGGTGTTGAAGTTTACTGTCTGTTATCACAGAATGAGATCATTTCAGTGTTCTGTGGGCATATTATGTTACTGTTTTTATCTTCTTAAAAAAAGAGAAATGAATATAAACAATTCCATTATTTTTTTCATGAAGGTATTTCTAAAAATAAATAAAAAAACATAACATTTTTTCACAATGAGAACTTTTAGTGTACCTAAAGCAGCCAAAGCCTCATTCATACTCTAAGAAGTCATTACTGATTACTGTAAAACATGCTGGAGAATGATATTCTGCAACTATGTGACATTTTGGTCAAACCGATGCACTGCTTCTGCCAGGCAACCACACTCGAACAATAACAAATATGATAGGAACGGAACCGTACTGTATTCAGGGTTTCCTCTGGAGATTTTTGCTTCATTTGACATAAGTTCAGAAAACATGAGTCTGTCCCCAACCTACCTTGGAGACCCTGCCTCTGCCTCTCTCTCTCCTGAGAGTCCTAGAGAAGGTGCCTTCTCCCCTCGACAGTTTTATGACAACCTGAAGAGCCTGGAGGAGCACGAGACATGTGACGACAAGAGAGATCCCATTGTTAATAACGAGCCTGACAACAACTCCAGCTCTCTTTTCAACACTCAGATCTGCGCTTCTCTTGTGACAAATGACCTTGGGAAAGTATGCGCTGGCATTTTTCCCCAAGAGCAGATTGAGAAAAGTAAGTTGGAAATGAAAAACTATGACAAATGTTCATAGCAAGGCGGTCCACAGACCCTATATGAATGTCATTTTTTGTTTCTTTTCCATCTAGGCCAATGGCAAGAACCAAGAGGCTCAAGCATGTCATCAACCGAAGACAATCTGTAAGGAACTGCAACTTTCAAAAGCTTGACTGACAGACTTATAGATGAAAAGTAACACCCTCTAATTCTTTGCTACCCTTGGATGCTTGTCTTTAAACTTGTTTTAATACCATGCAATGACATCAGCCATTTGTGCTGCGCAAAGTGATTAAAAAGCCTTCCATCTTGAAAAGTAAGCATTAAGTACTGCTATCTAATTTTTGTTTTTTAAAGTTATCATTACTGCTGTGGTATGTGCAGTGCAAAAATAGCTATCTCAAGAAAGGTTAATGTAAAAACAATTCTTTTTCAAAACATTGTGCAATTGCATGTGCCAGTTGCTGTATATGAAAAGATATTTACCCTGAAAACACAGCTGTTGGGAGAAACTTAAAGTACCATACTCTTAAACCATGCCCTATTATATCTTGAACTTTTTGGAAATATTTAATTGGCATAATATTATTCAGTGGTGAGTATTGTTTACTACGGCCCTATATGCTATTCCACTCAGTGTTCTTGGAAAGATGCACAAAAAGTTATTGTCTTATAGTTAGTCTTGTTTTTTTTTGTCCTTGTTTGGATTTCATCTTTTGATTTTTTTGCTTGCTTTTTCTTCCTGTGTGTTCATGACCCACACCTGTGTTTGGCATTTGCATTTAACCTGCATATCATTAGTTATGAAGCTTTATGTGTACAGTATATGGAAATTCCTGATTTTACCTTCTCTGCCATTTCATGGTCATTATTCTCTGCTTCATGGCCTTCTTCCCAAGAGCCAGTGGAAGTATTTTGTCTTTTATTCTAGCCGGTGGGCCTGGATTGCGGGGGATATGCACCAAAAGCACCACTAGATCACCTAACACAAATGATAAAACATATACAGTACAGAGATAGCCCCCGCAGCTTAAATAAACATTGCTTAAATTGAAGATTCATACTTTCTACAAAGATGTTACTATTAAAATTGTTTCCTTATGCTATAAAAATACAAAACATCACCAACAGAGTGATAAATAAGTTCAATGTAGATTTGTTTGACTTAGCTTAAGGACTAAAATCCCATCAACTAACACTGTGGTGCCTGCTGACGCACAGGTAACAGCGTCAGTTACTCTGTTGTTACGGAAATATCTTTTTTAAGACCTTTTTAAGACTTTCTTTGAGGGGGATTTCTTCTGACCCCAAGAGGCCCAGAAGAGAATTTATGTCTTGCTAATTAATTTCTTTATATCTTATCTTTGGTCCTGCAAACAGTTTCATCTTGGAGGTTTGCGGGTTGGATAGAAGATGTATAACTCTTGAGAGCACTCAAACACAGACAGATTGGGAGTGGGTGGAGGACAGCCTCTCTTTCAGCTGTCAAGGTAAGCTATGCAATCAGTTTGGGTGAGAATGGGTCACCTGCTCCCCCTTTTACCTCTCCTGACTTTAGGACATCTGTCAAATTCATAATTATTTCTTTCAGATGCAGTTAAAAAGAAATTCCAGGATCTCCAGTTGCAGGTAAAGATGAGCACAGACCCTATCACTGTGGCTTCTTTGGAAGTCTGCTAAATTGAATAAAAAAAAATATTTCAGAAATAATTAGCAATGTTCTGTTGAAGTTTAAGGTTGATATATATCAAGAATTACTTCCACCCCACACACTTACTTATCGATAGATGCATAGGTATTTTAATACCACTCTATTTCTCTGTAAAATGGACCAGTTTCCTTAACGAGTGCCTGTAGAGTGCCTGTAGGAGGAGACATTGGTTATACATGTTTGAATTTTGCAATCTTATGGATTGTATCTCTTGATTATACATGTGAAAATAAGTACAACAAAAAAGTATCTTTGATCATTTTTTATTGTTCATTATTAGGAGACATCAGAGGAGTTTGATTTACCGTGTCCAGGTCTACCTCGTCTTTTAGCACACAAGCCAGAGCCAAAAAAACCTCCTAACATTAAAAAGGTGATGTTGAGCAAATCCAGTGTTAGAAAAAAACACTTAAAAAAAAACAAAAAAAATATTCCTTCAGAAATAACTGATGCGTTTGTTGCTGCAGGTGTCTAAATCTAAAAAAGATGTTCACCTTGTTCGTTGTGAGTACTGCCAGAAACCCTGTCAGCCCTTCACACACAGAGAAACACTGGACAATCAGACCCACTTTGAGAAGGTGAGTGTAGTTTGTTTTACCTGACATCAGTTCATTAGTAATAATGAACAGCTCAGGTAACCTTTACAGAGTGACAGAATCACCCAATTTGTGGGTTGGTAAGGTTCACAGCTGTGAAAAGAAATGTCTACTGTTGGTCTCAGCTGTTTTATTGTATGTTGGAAAAAAGTTTGCACCATTGAATTCAGCTCTTCTATTGTAAAAGAAAGGAAACTTATACCGTTGAAATTATTTTTATACAGCTCTTCTGTTGTGAGCAAGCTAAAAAAATGAAAGAGATCATCCAGGAAGAGAGAGAAAAACTGGCACAAAAAGAGGCCGATGGAAAGATTGATGTGAACTCTCATTCATCCATCGGTAGTGAAGAGAGGGGAGTTCCTACATTGCAGGGAAGGGATAGGTGGGTAATGTATGCTTCCCTCTTTTTCTCCCTTAACCCACATGTAACTCAATATAATGGCATGCATTGTATTGTGTGCAGTAGCATGCAATAGAACAGCTCTAATTCTTTTGTGTAGTGAATACAATAGCACAAAATATGCAACACTGTCTCACAGCAGAATGTGTAAATACTGTTTTGGTCAACATTGCTAATGTTTCAGTTACACAATAGGCTCAAAAAAGTAGGTGAATCATGCTGTCTGAATCCCACCAGTATTAAATTTGCGTATTTACCTTCTAAACTACTGACCATCGTAATACTATAAATAAGAAGTTTTGAATTGCAGTAGGATTTAAAACCTCTGTATACTGCATTTTGTAAGAGTCAAGAAGTATTCCATATCTGCTACAAAATTGTAATAAAGATATAATAAAGGTGATGAAAGAAAGAGCTACACCATGAACAGTCACCAGAAAGATTTGAGCCCCATTTGCTCATTTTTCAAAGGATGACTTAGAACATATTAAAATAGTCCCAGGTGTCTGTGAATACCTGGTTATAGGTCGGCATTTGCCCACATAAATTGTGCCCAGTACGAATGAAATGAAATGGCAAAGTTTAGTGTCAGAAGAGGTGTCTGAGCACTGGCATAATTCTCTGCACTGAAAATATTTCTTCAGAATGTAATTCAATCATTTTCTGATTTAGGTTGAGGTATTTGCGATCCCGGAGGAGAGCAAGAAAAGGTAACTGGTATCAAAGCTCAATCAAGTATGCAAACGTCTAGACTTGTCCAGACAAACAAGTACAAAAGATAACGTTTAGAATGCCATTTTTACTGCCTGTTATTGAGGAGATATGAATGTACAGATGCTCTCTTTTCTCTGCTCAGGCCGTACTGAAATCAGACATAAAGCCTCTAATTATAGACTGTCAAAAGAAATCACAGATGAGCCTCGCATCCCTCAGAAAAATAACAGAAAAGCAAGTGACATGTTTACACTACGGGAGCTGAAAGATGGCGAACCAAAGGTATGTTTATGCTTTTGTAATGGTGCCGCTGTTGTTGTGGTCCTTCCTAAACCATAATCAGTGTTTGATCATCTGTCAAGGATGCAAGAAAAAGGGATATAGGCACAGGCACATGCGCTGACGGTAGTGTTTACCAGAAATACTGGCTAATAAATAACTTGGGCATTTTGTGTCATAGATAAAAGAAGTAATCAAGAAGTTCTACAGAAGCGGGACATGTTTCCTGACCCTCTGTCCAGATGGAACGGGTAATGTTTTGTATCCTTTTATGTCTTGCATAAGGTGGAGGATGGATGATTGGGTCAAAATATAAATGGGAGGTTACATTTGTTTCTTTTGATAAAAGGTTTGCTCATTGTTAATGATCCTTAATAGACAAAGTTATCCCTCTGGGAAAGCAGCCATTATAATATCCTCAGCAGAGGCTGATGACTTCACTCACATAATCTTGGAGGACAAGGACACGGCGCCCAGCATCAAAGGCATTTTCACAAATAAAGGCCGTTCCACTTGCTACCATCCCAATGGAATGATATGGTAACTGTTAGCCCAACGGAGTCATGTTAGCAATGCAAATTAAGGATTTAGTGGTCAGAATTCAGCCAGACTTTAGTGTGTGAGAAACACACTTGCATATTTTATGTAAACTAACAAACATAAATGGATGATAAATCTCCATTAAAATCTAAGAAATAATTCTCTCTTGGGAAAATTAGAAATACAAAATCACTGACTTGCTTTTTAAGGGGTTAGAAAGTTGTTGTTTTTATGCCTTCTGCCAGTGGCTAGCTGTTTTCAAATCAAAATCTCTCAGGTTTTCTGAGGGCTTTTGACCCTCTGTGTCTGTAATCTCTGTGGTCTCTTTAAGGTTGAATCTGACCCCTGATGGAGGTCTCTGCTTCAGTGAGTCGGGGGTCCTGAGGAGGCGCTGGAACTGGTTGTATATGGACCGACATGTGCGCAACCTCCCCTTCAAGCCTCTCACCTTCACCCTCGGACCCCACATTAGTGTGCGCATAAACTCACAAGAGCACATTTACGTCACCTTTGGGCATCAGGAGAACACTGTGCGCTTCAGTGTGGGGTCAAAGCTTAAGGTGGGTCGGGACAGAGGCCAGTTGTGATTTGAT